GGGGTGCTTTTCTGCAAAGGGGACAGGACGACTGCACCGTATTGAGGAGAGGATGGATGGGGCCATGTATTGCGAGATTTTGGGCAACAACCTCCTTCCCTCAGTAAGAGAATTGAAGATGGGTTGTGACTGGGTCTTCCAGCATGACAATGACCCCAAACACACAGCCAGGGCAACTAAGGAGTGGCTCCGTAAGAAGCATTTCAAGGTCCTGGAGTGGGCTAGCCAGTCTCCAGACTTGAACCCAATAGAAAATTTATGGAGGGAGCTGAAACTCTGTGTTGCCCAGCGACAGCCCCAAAACCTGAAAGATCTGGAGAAGACCTGTATGGAGGAGTGGGCCAAAATCCCTTCTGCAGTGTGTGCAAACCTGGTCAAGAACTACAGGAAACGTCTGACCTCTGTAATTGTAAACAAAGGTTTCGGTACCAAATATTAAGTTCTATTTTTTCTATTGTATCAAATACTTATTTCATGCAATAAAATGGAAATAAATTATTTAAAAATCTAACAATGTGATTTTCTGATTTTTTTTGTAGATTCTGTCTCTCACAGTTGAGGTGTACCTACGATGAAAACTATAGATTTGTCCATTCTTTGTATGTGGGAAAACTTGAAAAATCGGCGATGTATCAAATACTTATTTGTTCCACTGTATTTAATGGAAAAATGGATCTACTGGTTTAACGTGGGTTTAACAATACTGAAATGTGAGGGTTAAAATGCTTTACAAATGACATTTCAACTTTGTGGTTGCTTCCAAATAACTTGTAGTATGTGAAGAATTGGTTCCATGAGAGAGTGATGGCAAGGATTTTGTTGAACATGATGGAAATACTCAGTTGGGAGGATGTTTTGTCTCATCTGGACTCGTGTAATTCAATCACTCACTGACCATTGCGTGCCATTGTCTGTGGTTCAAACTGGCATGATAAAGAAAGGTCCTGAACCTCCTCAAATGCAACACCATCTGAAACACACTCAGGGTGCTGTCAAAAAGTGCAGGAATCATTTCAATTCCAAACTTTGCAAACTATTTTATGCCAGACAGAGTGCAAGCTTGTAATTAAGGCAAATGGTGGAAACACCAAATCTGACTTTGAAAACAGTACCAACAAATTTCAACTGAAAACATATGTGATAACATTTAAGAACTATTATTTGACCAATCATTGGTATTAGTTTAATAAATGATGAAATGTTTTTGGCAGTAGACTTTTGACCCCACTGTATGTGCAAACACACAAACAAGTGCAAACACACGCCACGCTCACACACACAGAAAATTGTAACATAAAAAAAAAAAGAAAAAAAAGGGAGGGGCGGTAGGGGAGTTGGCAGCGAGCAGTTATCATCCAGATCATCACGAGTCTTCATTGCCGGAGTCGTCCTGGTTGTCGTAATGTCTGGTGGACGTTCCACCATCCTCGACGGCGCAGATCCCCCCAGCTTCACCTATGGACTCCATCTCACTCTCGTCTTCCTCCTCATCGTCCTCCTCCATGTCGTCATCATAGAGGTCATCATAGAGAAGGTCTGAACTGCTGTCCTGGGACGGAACTCTGGTCTGAATGCAGTACTCTGCCAGTGTGGTCGGCACCTTGACGCCATCACGCTCAGCCTCTGCTGCTGTTGACATCACCTGCTTCCTGCGGGCCAGAAGGAATAAAATCAAAGTTGGTGTTTAAGGTTATTTTGAAGTGGACTGAGTCAATGAGAGCAATATAGTCCTTTGGTGTTTGAGAATATCTCTAAGCACATTAGTCTGGATAAAATACTCAATACTGTTTGTTACCTGATAATCTCTGCATACTCTTTATCCTTTCCTTTACTGTCCCTCCATTTGCGAAACATGACAGAGGCATCCACATTGGCTGGAGAGAATGTGTTGGGCTCATTGAGCAAAGAGATCACACTGAGCAGGATAGTCCTAATGAGAAAAAAAAAAAAGACTTAAGGCCACAGGCAGACAAGATATGAGGACACTCCACAGTAACAGATCCTGTTGGAAGACCTACACAGGCTTTTTAAAATTAATAAGCTTCATTTCTTTCCCCTTTTGGCTCAGTTACATGCTACACTCATTCCACACAGGTTCACAAATACAGATTCAGCACTTTATCTCTGCTCCTGAAGAAAATTGATTTTGCGGACATGCTAAATCTAAAAGAAATTTTGAAAGCTCCCTGCAGTAGCATCTTGTTCTTTTGATTTATCACAGAAAAAGAATGCTAACAGTGAACTGTTAATTTACTCCACTCTTCATTTGTTTTTTGAAAATTGTACTGACAATAACAAAGACAAGCTAGATGGCATGCCTACAGTATAGAACTAAAGTGCATACAGAAGCAGAAACTTTGTGGCAGAGATTACCTGACGTTCTGGGTGGGGTTCCACCTTTCAGAGGGCAACTCTCCACTCTGAGGATCATCAACAGGAGGGTGCAGGATGGAAATGCACACATCTCCGTTCTGGAAAAAGAGCAAAGTCCACTGTATGACAACATCTGTCACAAAGACATGAAAGTATTTTAATATTGCCCCGAAATGACAAATAGCCTTTAGTCGCTATATAACTGCTACATTAACTATGAAAACAATTCATGACAAATACAAAAATGCCACAAAAATGGCTATATAGATAAAGTTTATTGGTATTATTATTATTACTTCATAAATGTTGGGATGCCACATCTTGGTGAGGAAGCGGAAGGTCGGTGGTGAGTATGGGTAGTCAACTGGAAACTTGATGTGAGCCTTGGAGAACAAACAGATGGGTAAAACATTTTAATGACAGCCATGCTTGACTTCTGTTATGCTAAACTTAAGGTCCTTTGAGCCTATGGGTTTTAGCTTTAGGATGGAGAAACCCTGTGTAGATGGCAGTTATTGTTTTGGAGGCTGATACAGCACCCAGATATTTATAATGTGAAACAATATTATCAAGCTAAAACTACAAGGATCCCTCAGCATACATTGTCACTGAATTTTTTATTGTATTGTGATTGAACAAAATCATACACACCATATCGTGCATCGAATCGTATCGAGACAAAGCTTGCGTTGTCCCATCAATACTGTATATTATTCTACATCTCTGATGAGGCAAATCAAGTTCTTCCTTCATTCTTTACTCAAACACAAATGAAGTGGAACAGCGGCACTGTAGATGTTAACAAGCTGCTCTAAACTTCATTTTCAGATTCAGAAAGTAGAAAGGCTAAGAACAACTGACTGAAGCTAAACCCTGGTATGGATAGTTTGATATGTCCACACTGGATTCTGTTCTCTTTTTAAGTCAAACTGTAATGTTGCAATAATAGTAAGCCCTCCACTGACTAACTTTTCTAGCCTCACAAGTTGATTGATAACAAGCAGTAAACCACAAAGTGGTTTCCTGTGCCCTTTCATTTGGAGCAAGCCACAACAGACAACTGTATCATACATTCATACCTACACTCACACTGTGGATCAGCTGACAGTAATCGGTAATTCCTAACAAGGTTTAATAGACATTAGATGATGTAACAAAAGTGTTCCTGGTTCTGTTTTTTATTTCACCCCAGAGTATTTCACAATTATCTTAGTGAAGGGCTTGTAGACTTGGGTGTGGGTAACACCACCCGAGTGCTCACTGAACTGCTGCCACTCAGATAGGACTATCGTTACTCCACAACTTGTCACTACACCACTGCAGCCCTGGGCAATTAAAAACATTAATACCATGACACAATGGTATGAGCTCTGATTTTCAATATTTCTCAGTTACCATACTGTATAAACAAATACCGAAACAGCCTTTCCTGGTCCCAAATGCACGACTATGCATTGTATGTACTACAGGAGCCATGCAGTTCAGCAGCAGAAACAAAGTGTACACTAATCAACCTTTTCCATCAATAGTTCATTAAATGCACAGAAATTGCACCTGCACCAATTATAGCAGTGAGGGTGTCAATAATTCTGTCCAGTCCATTTCTGGAGTTCTGTGTGGAATGTATCAGATTTGGCTTTTTGTGTTGTTCCAATGCAAACAATAGAAACAAACATGACAATACCAAAGAATTTGTGATTGCAACAATTTTCTGGGAGAAGTGCTGAATTATCTGACAGAAATGCAGGGGTGCCGATATTTGTCCATGACTATACATGTAGCTGGTTAGAAGTAACTGGAATCTCTAAACTGTCTGTGAGTGTTACCCACAGAACTGACTGGAAACCTGTGCAGAGTGAGCTTCACTTCTAACTTATTCCCTGTCTATCTGTGCACAAAGCCAGATCTCTCTGTTGTGTTGGGGTCACTCCCATCATTTTCCTGTTGGTTTATTTTTGTGTGTGAAGGTTTTCCTTATCCAACCCCAGCATCTAAGGTGCAATATAATCTGAAACAAACTTGTGACTTGAGGAGTTAAAAATTAAACTGACTAGACTGGACTTGACACAAGGATGTCACTGTAAAGGCTAAGCATAATGTAAACAAGGGTAGCCTGCTACAAGAGCAGACTGACAACACCAGTTCTGTATCATATTCGCATTCCTGGATGACCTACAGTGTCACCTGAATTGCTCCAACTCATTGTACTCCATTTTATAGATGATTCACTGAACTGAATAAGTAACATGAAAGAAAGGAAGTGTTGTCATGTCCTTCTCGCTTTCTTTCGCTGTGCTGAGATGCCATTTATATCGTTCTCGTGGATAAAAATAGCCATCTGAACCATCACACAGTGAGGGGGAGAAGGCTGGACAAGTACAGTAAAATGAAGGGGCAGAGGAGAAAGACTGAACATGGAAAAAAAGAAATCCACAGCTGCAGGAAAGGACTTCAAGATTACATACATTTCAAACCAGTACCAGTAAAACAGAAAGGGCAGAAATATAAAGTACCACTATCAGTATAATAAGACTTGACTTAGTTTGACATTTTGGGTACCAACAGAGCCACTGTCAGTGAACTACCTGGTTGTTTTCCAAGTTGCAACAATCTCCTATACACTTAGTGGCCACTTTTTAATTTTTTACATCTATTAGATACACCTTTATGATTGTATGCAATCCTGTACAATGGCTCTGCCATAAATTCTACAATTATAAAGATAATAATGTTCAGCTTTTCATCTGACTCTTACAGAGGTGTTAATTCAAGCTTTAGCACTGAGGTGGTATTTTGCTGGACTCCATTATATTCGGAGTTGTTTGTCATATTCTGCCCCACTCATGTATGTAAATGGGAAGGACAAAAATGATAAAACAACTCAGTTCGACAACAATTTAAAACTGTTACATGAATTAAAAAAATGCAAGTATGACAGAACTGAATTAACACATTACCAAAAATATCACCATACATTCTAAACCCTTGTAAACATATAGTAATTTATGGCAGTGTTGTTGTATTGGATTGCATTAAATGTACAAGTGTGTCTAATTAAACTGCCACTGTGTTTATACTTAGGCAAAATCGTGCCCAGTGTATGGCTGTACCATATACTTCTATATAACCTGCTGCTGCTGCTGGATGAAAATTAGCTTTACAAATGTGCCTCATTGTCTAAACATGGTGTCCTGTTTAGCCTGCTGAATCCTTAACTTTGAATTAGAAAGTTCTGTCCCACCTTAAAGTAGCCTCCTTCATACAGGGTGTTTGGGGGCCCGAAGATGGCCACTTCCCAGTTGTAGAGGTCAGACTCCTCCACCAGAGTGATGCGGAAGCCCTCCACCGGCTGCTCCTGCAGAGACTTCAGCTCCATCATCAGGGCCTTCTGGGAGCTAGGGGTTGCCTGGTGGGCCATGTTAATCCCACTTCTGATACCAGTAACCATACACCAATGAGAGACAGGGGAAATTTGTAGATCAGACAAAAAAGTAACATAAGCTTAATGATGTGGTTAGGATTCTTCTTAAATGTTTTGTATTCTTTATTTCATGATCACAGTTGATGCTGCAGCAAACCATCAGTTAGCTTAGTTTGTACTGACATTAGTCTTCCTAGAAAACGCTAGGACAAAAGGAACAGTAAGCCCGAGTAATTAACACAGCTCTGCTGAGGAACTGAACGAGGCATACAGTATTCATACATATACAGGGTATGTGGCCTGCCAAGCTAGGTCAGTGGTTTAGTTCGCAGGCGCTTCATGAGAAAATAAACTAAGTTAATAAAAAGTGTTTACCTCTGTCTCCTTTTATTGTGATATGTATTCGTTTCGTTACAGCTGAAGACTGGAAGGTAAACTCATTAGTTGTCCATGCTAGCCTGGCTATGTCTTGACAAAGAGACAGTGGCAGTGGGCTTTCTGCTAAAGCCTATGGTTGGTCCTCGTGTTGTGTTTCCGAAATTCTTTGTGTGCCAGTGTTGACAGTTGACATGGAGCTAGTATCAGTGGAAGTCACGGTCTCCTGCGGATCATTCTTAGGTTGAAAAGAGGTAACTCGCTCTCCCTGACATCTCTCCGTACGGTTGGTTCGGTTCGGACAGACGCTCAGCTGATCCCTGCTTGTTTATGTTTGTTTATCTGCTCCCAGGCAGTCTCAACTTCTCCACACGTCAGCTAAACCCCTACCGTGCAACTTCGTTCAAATGGAGCAGCTTTTCTGCTCTCTACCGTCCCCTCCAACACAATGGCAGTATAAAAAGCTGATAACTTCGCACCTACGGTCGCGAAAAGGACATTAAGTGACAGGTTTACACTCGCGAATTGCAGTGGATGTAATCGATTTTTATTTTCCTCCCATCGATGCTTCCGGCTATCATTGCGCGTGTCTGCAGAACGTAACGCACGTAGGGGTCTGAACGTAACGTGCGCGTACTCAAAAGTAGAAGAGAAAAATTGACATGAAAGTGTAAACGTTATAAACGTCATATAACACAAATTTAGACATTTAATCCGACCCTAAAAACCACAATCCTAGTCCATATATTCGATTAATGTCACATTTTTGTTCATTCAAATATAATAGCTTATTAACTTTTATTTTTAATTTCCTGTCACTGAAGTTTCTTGTTTTAGTTTTTCTGAAGTTTGATAACAAACATTTACTGCTTGAATTCCTAAAGTTAGTTTGAGAAAGGCTATCACTTTGCTTGACCTTGTAAAAAAAAAAAAAAAAAGCTTTTGTCTTTCCCTTTGGGAAGTCCTTCAGGTCCCTCTGTAGTTGACAAGCATACTGTATCTTTCTGGCTGTAACCTTTTCAGTAGGCTAAGGCACTGAGGTCCTGAGAACAAATTACAGCATCACAATACACTCATTCAACAGTCATCACACATAGAGAAGCACTGATTAAGACATCTACAACGGTTCACCAGGAGGAGGCCCCGGGGAAGACCCAGGACATGCTGGAGGGACTATGTCTCTCGGCTGGCCTGGGAACGCTTCGGCATTCACCCGGAGGAGTTGGAGGAAGTGTCTGGAGATAGTGAAGTCTGGGCATCTTTGCTTAGACTACTGCCCCCATGACCCGGTTCCGGATAAGTGGAGGAAAATGGATGGATGGACAATGGTGCAAATGCTCCAATCTGCTGTGACCAAAACCAAGAAGATGATCATTGATTTAAAAAAATATAAAATCGATCATCCCCCCGGTGATCACTGATGGTCAGAACACTGAGGTGATGAACCAGTATAAACACCTGGGCTCAGCTATTGACAACTAACTCTCCTTTAAGTTGCAGGTGGATTTTATCTGTAAAAAAGCCCACCAGAGTATGTATTTTATTCACAAATGTCGTAGGTTTGATGTGGAAAACACCTTTATGGTAATGTTTTACTCATGTTTTATAGAATCTGTTCTTACTTTTTTTGTTTTTAAGTTAGTATGGGCTTTTGTCCCTTAAAAACTGGAATAGGTTACAGGGTATTGTCAAGGCTTGCAGTGAAATTATAAGCCTGACCCTGAATGACCTTCACCAGCTGTATAAAGCTCACATTTGTAAAAAAAAACAAAAAAAAAAAAAAAAAAACAGTTTGTGAACATCAGTTGTGGCTGATTACAGCCATCTTCTGTGCACTAAATTTAGGTTGCTTCAATCTAGACTCAGATATAGCCTACCAAGATGCAGAAAGAACAGATTCAAGTACTCTTTTATCCCACCAGCCATAGGCTTTTTAAATGCTTTGTGACAAAATAAGTCATGATTTATCATGATTGGCATTCATTGAGGAATGTGATTTTCAAAATTTTATTTTATGTTTGTGTGTGTTTTACATTTTTATGATTGTAATGTGACAATGAATGTATGTGTGCTACTGGCTGCACACCAAATTGCCCCTTGGGTATAAAAAAGCAACCTTTGACCTTTTGACAACTATTAAAATGTCAGCAAGAAAGTCTCTTAAAAGGGAAGTTGTGTTAAAATGTTTTCAGTGATGTGAGTTTAAGATTCACACTTGAAATACCCAATGTCACCTATGGTTTATCAGAATCACTTTCTGATAGCAATGCACATGGAGGTTTTATGGTCTATTTACAAATGTGGAGCTTATTTAAATAGAGGTCCCTGTCATCTCTAAAGCCCAGTTGACCACATGACATTCACTGTTGTTATTTTAAACTGAATAATATTATTCTTATACTTTTAATTTGGACCGTTATTGCAGAAATGAATGATATGTGGTCTCATCTGCATGTCTACATTAATTTTCAGGGTGTCTAGGAGATAAATCAGCTAACTTAGGTTCGAAAGTCTTAGTTTGTAGATATCTAATCCATGCAGAGGCATCATCACCAATGAGGGTTTGATACAGCATGGTCTTCATCTTCTTCATTGCTATACACAACTTCTGGGGGGCAACAGTGGTACGGTGGGTAGAGCAGTCTCCCAACTGGAAGGTTGAAGGTTTGAATCTTGGTGCCTGCAGTCCACATGTCAAAGTGTCCTTGGGCAAGACACTGAACCCCCCACGTTACCCGTGATGGTGGCATGTATGCACGCCAGGGCCCTCGGCGCCAAACAGAATTTCGTTGTACTTATTACAATGACAATAAAATAAAGCTTCTTCTTCTTCTGTGTCAATATCCAATGAAGGGAAACAACTTGTTGATACAATGCAACTTTTCAACCTGAAAGAACACTGAACGTTTCTTTAATTGATCAAATATTATAGCCATGCCTTTGAGTCATATGAGGGAAATAACCATTTCGGTGTTGGGACTGCCCTGACAGCACCAGAGAAAACTCCCTATTTCCTCTCCCTGGATTGTCCTTCCCAAAGCTAGTGATGGTCCTCTGACACCCGAGGCTCCAACACATGCATGGTAGCTCATGAAGCAATTGTATTGAACCACTGTGCCGAGCTGTGTTTTGGTCACATGGCTAGTGATGTTTGAAGCACTTGAGTAACGTTCGAAGCAGTTGAGTGCCTTGGATGTCATACAAATCAGCTGATTGGATCAGTTTGTCACGTGAATCACTTTGTGGGATAGAGTGTTTAGAGACAGGATATCCCTATTTAGTTGTGTTCATTTGAATTTTTCTTTGCAGAGCAGGTTGGTTTGTTGCTGTTGTTGCCGTTAGTTGCTTTGAGAGTTAGTAGTGTTGTAGCAGATTGTGTATTTAGTGCAGAATCACTGTAGATAGATTAATATATAGCTAGATAGTAAGTTACATAGAGAAATAGATAAATTGGTTACATAGTTAGATAACATTAGATAGATATGGTTACATAGATAGTCCTAAGATAGATAAACATATCTAGATAACAGTCGCACAAGCACACCCTCTTTACCCACGTACCCAATAACCTCTTTACCAATGAACCCCAAAACATACTTTGCCAAAGCCAATAATATATTCTGTATTTTCACCAGTCCCATGTGAAAATGATATCTGTCTGAATTTGTAGAGCACATCTCATGGATGTAGCAACACCATTTAAATGTTTCATAACACACAATATAAGTGAAGAGTATATAAGGTTACAATCAGACGTGCCAATTAAGAGACATGTTCTTCAACATGAGTTTATGTTTATTTCATATTTTACTGTGTCAGCTTGAAACCATACAACCATGTAGTGTAGTCGAACAGGAATATGTATGGCGAATTAAATCCCAAACAATCCATGAACCAATGACACGTCTTGATTGAACTTCATTTTATTGACCACTAGATGTCCTACTCGAGCACTGTGTCATTGAAGCCTCGAGTAGTGAACCATTTTTGTGAATACTGTGTCGAAGCTTCAACAAAGCTTCGATCAGCCATCACTACCCAAAGCATAACCCAATTAGTCAACAGTATGACAAGTTTTCTACAGAAGATACAAGATTTCTTTGACAGCTTTCTCCTGTAGGTGAATGGTACCAGTGAGATCTATGAGTAGACAGGCCTGCCACAATGGGCAGCAGCCAATATGCTCACATGTATAACCCTCTTTTGTCTGGCCTGAGAAAATGCCAACAAGGGTAAATGAAGAAACTAAAGCAACAAGAAATATGTTTTCTAGAGACTCATCTGTTGTTATCACCTGGAGAGCACAAACTGGTGCTTCATGTACTCTGGGGGACCTAACATTTAAAGCAAATTACAGGTGGGCTGTTTTACATGTGAAATTTGATGTTACCCACTGTCTGCTTCAATTCAACCACACTCAGTATGGTGTAGTTAGGAAGACACTGAAAGGTTCAGTCCAATAAACTGCAGCCCCTGCCACTCACTCACTTTTGCCTGCCCACTTTCCCTCACAATGGCTTTGTCTTCCTTGACTGGTGCTGCTCAAATACTTGACTGTTGTGGAACACAGTACAATCAATTTAGAAATGGTAGGGAAAAAATCATGATCTAGTCATCAGACCTCAATAATAAACATAGAACTGAATTTAAACATTTGTGACAATTACACCACAAACTGAAAAATTTTGAGTTTCATAAATACAGATGTTCATGTGGAAGTGTTGCATTGAATTGCATGTCAGTTTGCTGCTGTATTTGAACTAAAAAGGCTTGATATGAAACTGCATAAATCATAGCCATTGCTGATCTGTCAGATTATTCAGCCTGCCACTGCTTCAAATCTGTACAGATGTTATTTTAAGAATCTTAACATCCTGCTTGCAAAGGCTTTTGTGTCACTTAATACTTTAGGAATTAAATCAGTACTGTTCATATCATAGAGCAGACCTATCACAGACTGCAGTAAATGAGAACTAGGCTGGAATGTATGCCGACTGTACTCGGCTTCTCTGATAAACTTAACACATTAACGACACATTTTATTTTGTTATCATAATAAACCTTCATAATATAAATACCAACAAACAAAAAAAATCACAAGCTCCCATCATGCCTGAGGTCTTGCAGTCAGTGGAGATTCTACTGAATTACTCAGCAAAAACAACAGAGCTTTTACTGTGAAAATTCCAAGCCAAACCTATGTGTTCATTTTGATGATTGCCACATGAAGACAGAAGAACCTAAAAGTAAAATGACCACATTAACCACACAATTTTACTTTCATCCATCAATCCGTTTATCCTGAATAGGGTTGCAGGGAAGCTTGAGCCTATCCCAGCTGACATTGGGCGAGAGGCAGGGTACACCCTGGATAGGTCATAAACATAACATGCAATACAAATGAATAAACTTTGTTAGTACTAGCCTCACATTTCCTTATTTCCCTTTGGTAGGCTGTGTATCAAATTCAGGGAGTTGTACATGCATTTTGTACAGTTAAAATACAAAGGACTGATTTGAAAAGTGCAGCATTTTCTTTAAAGTACAGTACCTTCCAGTATACTGACACCTTTGGCTCACACAGCTGGATGGAGTTGTGAGTTTCTGGCGTCATGTAGGTATGTGACGTCAGACAGGAACCAGTGGAAGCTTGAGAATTCAAGATGGCGTCTTACACCGAAGCAGGAAAGAGATTTTTGTATAAATAAAACTCATTCGGAAAATAGTTTAAATTGGAGAGCCAAGTCGACAAGACGTCTGGATTTTGAAAGAAGAAGACGGAGCAGATACAGGTGAGAGGAGTTTGTGTTGACGTGAGCTCAGTTTCGTTTCAGGGGTGGTGGCAGCACAGACAGTAGTCTGTCCTATCCTGCCACATAGCGTTAATGTTACAACCAGGCCACTTGCGAAAGCTGAGCATATTCGCATGAACGTAGCTTTCTCCAAAAACATTAGCTAACGTACTTGCTAGCGAGTTGGTTTATTTGCTGTTAATATTCCGGTAATACCAACTAATGCCTTAGCCGACGAAGCTTAACGTTAGCTTTACTGTTGTGTATGCTTGCTGTTAGCTCCTTGAGCTAGGAGTAATCAAAATCGTAATAGCCTAGCTTGTTGCTAATTAACGCCATCACAACTTAATATGATATAGTGAGTGAATAAGTTATATCGACTTGAGTACGCCAGCTAGCAATAGTATTATGAGCCATTTGTGGCAGTCCATGTTAGGCAATTTTTTGTTTAAATGTGTTTTCAATTATAGTTATGCTACAGCGGTTCTTTAGAGTTAGCTAAACAAACTTAGTGAGTTGTCCCGTGCTGTGGCTGTTAACGCTACTTGGTAAATGGTAAACGGTCTTATACTTGTATAGCGCCTTTCTATGCTTTTACAGCACACTCAAAGCGCTTTCACATTATTCTGCCATTCACCCATTCGCTCTCCCAAGCACTCACGCACCGGTGACATCACCGGGAGCAACTGGGGGTTCAGTGTCTTGCTCAACACCTCGACATGTTGACTGGACAAGCCGGGAATCTACCTGCTGAGCCACAGCCGCCCCCAACTTGTATCTTGAACATTAATACTAACTTGTCCTGACTGTACTCTAACTGCGAGTACTATGTTCGTGAAGAATACCAACTTGTGGTGGATGGTGTTGCATAACATTATCCCTAGGGTTAACCTAACTTAGGTGAAATCACTTAACTGTTAACGCTTAAGAAATGTGATAACGATAGCTCCTGATCAGATCGAAAGTGGGGCTAATAGACGTGTACTAGTCCAAAGTCTATGTTGTACATCGCAGTGCATAATGGACTGTTATACCATATATTGCTATTCATTTTAAATCATCAGCAGAAGAAACTTGATGAAACGATTTACCAAGGAGGGGTTGAGGGTTTACAGGGTTTTTATGGCTAATGCTATGTTTTGATAGTATACTATGTCACGGAACTTCAATCAGACTTTAATGATTCAAATACTCTTGTTTTTGCTCTATTAATGTCTCAGTGAAGTAAACTAGCATTAAAGCAGTAAACGGTTATTGAAAACACAGAAGACTACAAAATAAACTAATTGAAACAGAGCATCAGACATTATACTACACTTCTTAAGAAAAAAAATAAAGGAACCCTAAATCACACACCTGATCTTGATGAACAAATTATTCAAGTTGAAAAGTTTGACATTGTATAATTTGTTCAGAACAAACTTGACATAACAAAGGTCAGTGGAAACCAAAATCATCAACCCATGAGGGCTGTATTCAAAATCACACTGAAAATCAAAGTGAAAAATTTAAATGACAGGCTCATTAAAATGTGACTTTAATCACACCAACAATGTGACTCAGAAGTTTGTATGGCCCCCACATGCCTAAATGCACTCCCGACAACATCTGGGCATGCTCCTGATGGATTGACAGATGGTGGCTTGAGGGATCTTCTCCCAGATCTGGTTCAGGGCATCAGTGAGCTCCTGGACAGTCTGTGGTGGTACTTGGTGGCATTGGATGTACTGATACATAATGGTCCATAGGTACTCAAATGAATTTAGGTCAGGGGAACATGAAGCCCGGGCATCAGTGCCTTCACCATCCAGGAGCTGCCTACACACTCTGGCCACATGAGGCCAGGCGTTGTCCTGCACCAGGAAGAACCCAGGTCCCACTGCACCAGCATATGGTATGACAGTCGCTCTGAGGATTTCATCATGGTACCGTTGGCTGTGACATTGAGGTCTGTGCAGCCCTCCAAGGATATGCCTCACCAGACCATCACTGACCCACCACCAAACCGGTCATGTTCAATGACGTAACATGCAGCATGGCATATCCAGACTCTTTCAGGCCTGTCACATGTGCTCAGTGTGAACCTGCTCTCATCTGTGAAGAGAATGGGGTGCCAATAGTGTTCTCTGGCGAACTCCAAATAAATCTGCACAGCGATGGTCCGCTAGCATAGGTCGTACTAGAGGAAATCGGGCCCTCATGCCACTCTCATGGAGTCTGGTTCTGACTGGTCAGAAACATACACACCGGTAGCTGCTGGAGGTCATTTTGTAGGGCTCTGGCAGTGCTCCTCCTGTTCCTCCTTGTACAATGGAGCATATACTGGTCCTACTGCTGGTATCTCCTGGTATCTCTTCCATACTCTTGAGACTATGCTAGGAGAAACAGCAAACCTTCTTGCATCTGCATGTATGGATGTGCCATCTTGGAGTGACTGGACTACCTGTGCAACCTGATTGGGCCGCAGGTACTGCCTCATGCTACCAGTAGTGACAACGACACAAACAAAACTTGAGAAGAATCAGTCAGGAAGTATCAGGAGAGAGCATTTGTCTGTGACCACCACATGTGAACCCATTTCCTTTTTGGGGGATGTCTTGCTTTGGTTGTTCCTTTGCACCTGCTGTCACTTTCATTTGCACCAAAGCAGGTGAAACTGATTCACAGTCACTTGTGCTTCCCAAATGGACAGATTGATATCCCTGAAGTTGAACTGATTCTGTGTTATACTGTGATTATCAAGTGTTCCCATAATTTTTTGAGCAGTGTATCATACTATACATTATACCCCCAGTACCACACACGCATTCAGAGTATACACTGAGCATATGGCCTTTGAGCACTACTTTTTAATACTTGAAAAAATTTTCTATCCCTGTTTGGCTTGATAGAGGTTCATATTTCTTCACCAACAATGCTCTGTGTGTTCAGTTGGCACGTGAGTTTGTACACTCTTGTTTCTCTTCAGTTCGTATAAATGGTAAATGGACTATTTATATAGTGCATTTTTCCACAGTGTGTTGCACTGGCCAAAGTGCTTTACGGGAGATGATACATCATTCACACACCGATGACGACAGGCTGCCACACAACGGCGCTAGGCAAGCCACCGGGCGCTATTCAGGGTTCAGTGTCTTGCTCAGGGACACTTAGGTATGCGGGGAGACCGGGGAACCACCAACTTGCTGGTCAGGAGCCGACTGCCCTAGCTCGTGAGCCACAGCCACCCCAAAGTATAAATCTTTCGCCTGGGAGGCGACAGCGGTGCGGTGGGTAGAGCACTCGTCTCCCAGCCAGAAGGCTGAAGGTTCCAATCTCTGTGCCGGCAGTCCACGTGTCAAAGTGTCCTTGGGCAAGACACTGAACCCCCCCGTTGCCCCCGATGGTTAGAGCCATCGGTTGAGGTGGCGCCGCAGATGGCTGCCATTGGTTCTGTACCGGAAACAAATTCCTTGTGTGTTAACGTACTTTGGCCAATAAAGGTGATCATCCCCTTATCCTTTAGTGGAAATAGCTAACTATAAACTCGTATGAAGGATTGGTTACTCAAATGAACAAGCACACAAAAGCAATGAGCTGTACAGCTGGATCCTTTTTTCAGTGGTTTAGGAAGTACTAGAATCCTAATAATCAGTGAGCCATTTCATACAAAACTAAAATTCAGCTTGTTGGTGCTTGGAGAGCTTTTCATTAATGAATCAGCCCATTTGAGCTGTGTAACCAAATCGAACACTTTTCCTTCTGAACACTCCAACACATACATACAGTAGATTAAAACAGTGCTTTGATGATATCAGACACTGGTGCACGGCATGACCAAATAATGGGATTATGTGACTTGAGATGCAAAGCAGCAGAATGTACTAAGAATTAGAATTATGTTATTATTTGAATAGAAATGGCACTACAAAGTGTAATTTTTCTTATACTGTTCTGCAGGGGCACATTTCTGAGCTTTGTGAAATACACACTGTACTGATGCAGGACTAGAGCAATCCATTTTAAGCTGTTTTCATACTTTTGCACCTTTAGAGTGTTTTAACTTTTTTTTTTATTATGAGACACAAGTCAATGTATAAAAAAAAAATAGTCCTGCTGTTGACTAACTTTACACCCACTGTACTCTATTTTCAGTCACTCTAAATGGCTGCAAGGAAGTCTGGCTCAGATGCATACAACAATGGTGAGGGTTTTGTTTGACTGTGTTGATCTTGTGAGTTGAGAGTGGAATGTAGCTTCAAGGTCTGCTGGTGTCTGTAGTTCCTCTGTTTATGCTTCAATTTTAACTTTACTTTGTGTGTGTGTAGGACCCATCAGCTACCTCGATGATGTTCCCTTCAAGATCAGTGAAAAGTTTCGCTGCCCAGCCAAAGTGGGATTGCCGGTCGGTTTTTGTCTGCCAGACTGTAGCTCTTTGCTGAACACACAGGTTAGTCAAATATAGAAAATATGTTGAATTTACACAGACTTTAGCACCTATATTCATAGTCATGCTGGACACTGCAGAAAATGCCTCATTTTTAGAAGACTACTTGGCTCATAGTAATTTAGATGAAGAGGTGTAGTTGAGCACATTTTGTCAGTGGGATGACAACTTGGTACTAGAATTTATTTCAGTTATTGCTAGGTGTTCAGCACAAATAGTTGAAATGCCTTATCTGTTTACAAATTACAGCAGCATCAAATTTTGAATTTACTCAGATCATCTTTACAAGTTATTTGTTTTATGTTTAGCTGGAGTCTTAATATCATTAAAACAATACACTTTATCTGTGGCTTTATGTGGCATCTTTGCTCATCACCATCATTTTTTCTTTTAATACGGCCTCCACAGTATGACTTTTCTCTGGAGAGGCGTAGTGTGCGCTGGGGGGATGAACTGGCTGAGGCCAGAGCAGCAGAGACCAGAGCAGAAGAGGCAGCAGCAAAGCAGGAGGTAGAGAGCAAGAAGCGTCTGGCTCAGGCCCCAGACACTGATGGTGGTGGGGGGAAGAAATCCCAACCTGCTGCAGAGGACCAAGACCCTCTGCCACCAGCGTTGAACCCTGTCCTGGCGGGGCTGAGCCATAACGCCATCCTCACCCCACTGCCTGCTCCAAGCCTTGGCCCTAGGAAAACCCAGCCTAGCACCCCTCAGCCTCACAGCCTCAACCTAGCAGACTTTGAGCGGGAAGAGGACCCCTTTGACAAGCTGGAGCTCAAAACTTTGGACGATAGGGAAGAGCTGAGGAGCATCCTCCAGAGCCAGCCCCAACCTCAGCCTCCTCCCTCTGTTTCCCCACCAGAGGTCACCCAGATAGGGTCAGCATCACGTGGAAGCAGCCCATCTCCTCCCAACACCAGCCTCCCAGCCAAACCCGGGTTTACCCACAAACCCAACGGCTTAGTTGCGTTGCTGGAAATGGACAGAATTGCGCATCCTGCAAGAGTGGGGTTAGATCCAAATGACCGACCATGTAATATTCGCTCTCTGACTTTTCCAAAGCTCTCTGATTCTGGTGACCCAGAGCCAGTGAGGCACAGCCCCCTCCCTGCACCCATCCCTGCTCCTCAGCACAAGCTACCCAATGGCAGTCCGCCGACCATACCCAAGACCCAAGTTATTGTTGCCCCTCAGTCACCCAGTCACACAAAGAGTGGCTCACCAAAACCGGTGAGCACAAGTACAGTAGACATACTACATATGTCACTATTTGTATGCATAGTTTGGGTTTGTTTTAGCAATTCGTAGAATCCAAGATATGATAAGTGTCTCAAAACCTTAATGAAATGCTCTTATGTTCTTCATTTAGACCAACCTAGGGTCAGGCTCTGCTGGTCTGCCGTGTGGTGGAGCCCTGCTCAGCATGACCCCCAGTGAGCGTCGGTGTGTGGAATCCTTGGTGGGCATGGGCTACTCTTATGAGGGCGTTCTACGGGCCATGCAGAGACATGGACAGAATATGGATCAGGTGCGACTCCCTCTCACCCCAGTGCAGAGAAATCTGGATTGCTAGCATACTCTGTGTCTAACATCCTTATTATTGTTTGTGTGCTTGTTATTATTTGGTGAAGCATCAATGCTGTACATCTACAAATACAGCCTTAAAATAAAGTTGTTGCATCACACTGTCTGTCTCAAGTTATGCCAATAGATCAGGTTCTGTACTTGTACAACTAATATAAAAAAGATATGGCCTGTTCCCATGGTTGCAGCAATATACAGCAGGTTCTATTAATTTGGTATGCCAGATTTAATTTGGCCCAGCATTTTAAAGGTGAACTACAATCAAGCATCACTAACCTAAGTTGTAAGCCACATCTAGCATAAAAAGGGCACTCAGTACACCGGATATTAGCATGGTGTCATTTAAATCCAATGTAAGCCACATCCAGCATAAAAAGGGCAATCAGTACACCAGATATTAGCATGGTGTCATTTAAATCCACATTATAAGCTTTTATTATTCTCTGAGAATAAAAAAACAAACTTCATTGGTCTTTTATGTAATGCCCAGTAGAAGCTGAATTAATATAATCTTCAGCACAGACATATAAACTTGTACATATTGTTTGTTCAAGGTACTGGATTATCTTATTTTATCTGGACGTCTTTGTGAGCGGGGCTTTGATGCAAGTGCAGTGGAGGAATGTTTAGAGATGTACCAGTGCTCAGAGGAGAAGGTCTGTACATTTTGCTGTTATGTAACTATCTTAAAAATGTGTTTATGTCTAAAGTCAAAATTAAATAACCCAGTGTTTATTCTTTTAAAAAATGAGTGATATCTACATTACCCTGTCTGTTAATAATTTAGTCATGTCTGTAGTTCATATTAGAAAGATTGATTATACAACATTTTAGTAGTTTTATTTATTTTTGTTCTTCCCAGGCCTTGCAATTCCTTGAACTCATGTCAAGATTTGGTGAAATGGGATTTGAGCGAGATGCCATCAAAGAGGTGCTGCTGGTTCACAACAATGATCAGGACAAGGCTCTAGAGGACCTGATGGCTCGTTCTGCAGCTAGCTGAGCCAAGCTAACCAGCCAACCAAAGCCCAGCCAAGGGCTTGCCTCCCTCTGCCACCCATTACAGTCCCTTTCCTTTTTCCTCCTTTTTCACACCATGCCCTGCCCTTGCTTTGTCTGTGGAACGGACATCTGGGAGATGCTTGTATTTCTCTCTCTGCTAAAACCTGTTCTTGAAGACTGTGTGCCTAGAGTGGAAGAAGTCAAACTCCTGGCATTAGGTTTCAGAAACTGATACTGCTAGGTTATTCAAGAATGGCTGAGCTGGAAAGGAAAAATTGGAACAACTGGTTGTAATGCCGTTCTGATTTGCTTCCACTTGGAAGTCTTTATTTGACTGCAGAAAAAGCTGCAGGAGGAAATGAGGAGCTGGTGTCTGTGAGTTCATCACAAAAAGACCAGTTTGGACTCTTGAAAAATAACTAAGCCGCCATCTTCCACTGCTCAGCGCAGGCCTAGTGGATGGTGGAGAGAATAGGGGACCTTGAGGAGTCCTCTTCAGACTGAACTAATTAACATAAAAAAAACAAAGGCACAGTCACCAGGCAGAGGACTGACTCAAGAAGTGCCCTCTCTGCTCTGGTGCCCTGCACATAGTTTTGTTCCGTTTTATGCTTTCATTCATTTGTGGCTATTTTTCTGTTCATTCGTGCACTTTTTCAGTTTTTCAGTTTAAATATTCAGTTTCTTTGCTTTCTGTTTCTGCAGAATAGATTCTTATTCATTATAACTCACAACACAAGATATACTACTGCCCCAGTACACTCTCTGACCTGCACTGGAATGACCTGCTAAAGGAGTGGGGAGAGACAACCCACTGGCAATGATGTGTGATACTCCACAAGCACACACATTTCATCATTATCTACTTATTTAAAATAATACACTGACACTTTCATTTACAAATTTAAGAGTTTGATGATGTAAGATATGTTAACTTACAGAAGTGATGCTTTTAACTTATGGGCCTTTGTTTGCAGACTGGAAAGAATGAGTGGTTTAAATAAAGGAAAATGTAAGCGAGGGTTGTTTTTGCCGCCACCACACAGTGCAATACAGACATTTCATATTGTGTGACTGTTGACTGGCACTTTGAGCCTCAAGTAATTGTTGGGAGATAACGAATGGTCTTCAGGCCTTGCTGAAAAATTGGATGGAACTAGAAAATTCTTGATTTCAGTGTTTTCTCTCATTTATTCTGTTATTGGATTTCATGGAAGCAAATCTATTCAAACATGATTTTGGTTTGATGTTGTCCGCCTTTTAAAATTTCTGTAATATAAAGTGAGTTCATCTTGATTTTAGGTTTGGCATCTCCACTGTCTTAAATGTAAAGTTGAAAAAGGTCCAGTCAGCACATGCCAAAACCATTTTCCCATGTGTTGATTGAGTGTTCAACCTCATAAGAAGAAGTTGGGAGATGTAAAATCAAAATTAAAATTGAAAATAGTGATGTGTAAATCATCTGTGTCTTGTATTACATTGAAAACAATACAGCAGCACATTATTTTATGTGATAGTTAATTTTAATCTTTGGTCAAAATAAACACTCCAATTCCGATTTCTGTTACACCTTTCACAAAAGTTGAATTTTAGGGCCAGTAATTAGGTAAAACAGTGAAATGATGATTCCATTTGAAACAGGTGATGTACCAAATCATGATTGTGATCACCTGTTGACAACAGTGGCATCCAGGAAAGGCCGAGCCCTTTAGGAGCAGACAGGTCGAGTACCGGTTTGCCAACATATGTGTGGGAAAATTATTTAAAACCAATGTTCCTCAAAGAAAGGTCGGCAGGGATTCGCATATGTCACCCTCTACGGTGCAGAATGTAATGAAAGGATTCAAGGAATCTGGAGGGATTTCAGTGGGTAAAGAACAAGGGTACACGCCTGAGCTGGATGACTGTGCTCTCCGATCCCTCAGACGCCCCTGCATCAAGAATCATCACATGGGCTCAGGATTACTTTGGCACACCTTTGTCAGACACGACAATAGTTGCATCCATAAATGCTGCTTAAAACTATGCTGTGCCAAAATAAGCCCTATGTCAACAGTGTCCAGAGTCGCGGTTGACTGCTCTGGGCTCAGAGGCATCTGGGATGGACCATCACACAGTGGAAATGTGTACTGTGGTCAGACAGATCAGTATTTCAGGTCTTGTTTTTTTCTTTTTTGGAAAAATATTTGTTAAAAAATAAAGTTGCAGTCGAACATAACAGAGGGTAGCATCATAACGGCATGATGATGGAGCAAAGTATTGAACATTGAACAACAATTACAAAATTACATTCCCATAGAATGCGACATTGTCTCCTCTGCAAAACAGGAGTCTCTTGGACAGAACTTATTTAAAGACAACTTGTGATCGTACAATGTGGACATGACGAGAAGCTTTCTGTGTAAAACAAGCCAACTGAAATCTTTCATCCAGTTTTCAAGACCCGTGTAACGCTTTTGTCCATACTGTTCATGGTATGTGTATTTCTGATGCACATAATTTCTCAATACTTTTTTGATACAATATTCTATGATTCTGAACATCATTTATGTCTTTACATTCTGGGTTTTTCCTTGCCCATTTTATAATATACTGGAAATATTCAGGCATGGTTTCTGCCTTGGGATTTGTTGTCCCACTTCAAAAAGCCAAAAACTCACTTGTGAGAATACTCTGCTAACGTCAGATTGCATATACAAGCATTAAAAATGACATCCGGTTTGAGAGGAATGTTTGGAAGATATCTTCCCCCAACCTCTATATGTTGATATACTATATCTCTTTTCACGTATTCGTAGCCGCCCCAGAAGAAATTAAACATTGCCCTCAGCATGGATTTCCTGACCGCATGGTGCATTGGGAAAACGTATGCTAAGTGTAACAGTGTGGGGACAATTTTTGTTTTCGCTGCCATGACCTTTCCTTCGAAAGACAGGCTCCTCTGTTTTCGGACTCCCAGTTTTTAAGAAAAATATTTAATTTCTTTGTCCAGTTATGAAAACTGTCACCTTCACCATGGTGAATAACATCCCTTCTCCCTATCCATCCAAAGTGTTTTTTCTTTATCTTTGATCCAGATGCTACACAAAAGTCCTCCAGAGTTTTTGGTACTTCTGCTACACTCTTGTCATCAGCTAGGTACAAGGTAGTGTCATGTGCATACTGTGAAACCTTTAATAATTCTCCTCCTGGCAAAGGTCCCCTGATGTTTGGGTTTGCTTTGATTGAAGGAAATAACAATCCCAAAATGAATTAAAATAAAATAAATGAAAACTCGAGCAAACTGTCTAATATCCATTACCATTTAACTTTTAAAGTGCAATATAAAGCCTAAAACAATACTGCACAACAAACTGGGCTTTTAAATAGAGACAATCTGTGTAACATACACCTTTGAAATATAGCTTTTTAGAACACTGCACACACTCTTGAATTATTACAAAACAGAACGAAATAAGGGGATAACCATCAAAAATGAATCATGGGGCTGTCACGTGATGCGCGAACGACTCAAACTGAAGGCGAGGGACATTAATAATTCTGTTGGGTATACAGAAGACGGCACGGCATGGCTTATCTAAGGATGTTATGTGACAAAAGCCCAAACGAATTTGACCCAAAATATCCGGAGGTGAGGTGATGACGTAACAGACTGCATAGCCTCAAGACACAGGTACAATATTACTTATAATATGACCTTGGCTGCATTACAGTTCTTTCTTATTCGAAACGTGATCAATATGTGCGTAAGTAGATGGGGAATTAACATGTAATATTTTAATTACATTCTGCTGAAGTGAACGAAATGACTCGTTCATTTTGCTGAACGAGACTCAAACAACCAAATCAGTAAAATGATCCAAACTTCCCATCACTAGAAGAAATGCCACCCTTTTGTTAATACTTTCTATAATACCACTTCTCCTGAAGACAGCTCACATTACAACGTGTACGGCCTTTATTCTTGCTTAATAACATCAACATGCGCATTTTCATCTTTCAGAAATAAAACAAACACAGAACAAAAAAAAGAAGACCAAACTTTTTAATATTTAACAAACCAGGGGGTGGGGGTGCACCGGTCCCGGAGATACTGCAATACCGGGTCGATGCGTGGAGTGGATGGAGCAAGCCCCTATTCCATCTCCCTGTTCCAAAAATCAATTTAATATATGGTCCCCGGGTAGGGGACGTATCAGATATTAAACTGATAAGAACAGATACTACACTTGATCTTAGCCAAAAGGCCGAGAAGCGATAACACAATACTGTCGGAGGTAGGGGGGCCATTCTCCGCACAGTCGCTCTCGCTGATGGGTCCATATATCGGAGGAGTCCAGCGCTATATGGTGCGTTTAGATGACTGCCGGTAAAACAAAGAATAATCCCACCTCTACGCTTTAGGAGTAAAATATCATGGAAACGCACAAAACGTGTTAATTTAGACAAAAAAACTGGGTAGCGTGTTGTCACGTGACACGCCTTGCCCAGTGAGGAGACAGACGTCTAGAAACTAATTTACAGTTACATTAGAAACAAAGTTGCATCTTGTAAAACCCAAGAACCAATGTCTGGAACTGCTGCAGATGTTAAACATGTAACAAAGCGTGGTAGAGGAATATAACGTATATATTTACGGCCCAGTGACAAAATAAACAAGAAGGAACAGCGCTTCAGTGACCTCTAGTGGAGAACATCGCTATCTGCAGAATCCAACTCCGAAATCACACACTACTCACTTCACAGTATATTCAAAATGCTTAGTGTGTAAATTTATTCAATATACAGTGCACTACAATTCCACAGTGGAATATAAAATTTGTGTGCATGTGCACTACTTTCTGCCAACAATCCCACGACGCAACGTGTTTTATCAGAGGGAAAATTACTGTGGTGATTAAGTGTCAGAATCTCAATTTATTGTTCGCTGATATTAGAAAAATTTAACATCGTGAGACGAAGGAAAACTGAGACTTTTGAAAATTATCAAAGGCATCTTTAATTATTCTTGCAAGAAGGAGCACTACATCAACACTCAAGAAGTCTTACTGCTCAGGGGAGCAATCTCTGTGAGAGCTACTTATACTGTTCATTGCAGTTTTGTTGCTCTTTGTTCTGCCAGGCAAGCATTTGTCCCCTCCAGTCGTGGGGGTCAGGTTACCATGTGTGTTTTCTTATCAGGAGCTTGCCTATGTCCTGACTTCCCAACCTAAAGAGCAAACTTTTACAAGCAGTTTCCTGACTTCTTTAAGCTAAAGAGCATCCTTTTACAATGACTGCACATTTGCTCATGGTAAACATTACTTACACATGTAGCACCCAACCCATGTAGCTTATTTTTTGTAGGATAAGATATATTAATAAAGGGTGTCGAAGTAGTCCGGGCAGGGCCCATGGTTTCTAATAATAATAATCAATAATAATCACCTTTATTTGGCCAAGTATGTTACACACAAGGAATTTGTTTCCAGTACAGAACCATCTGAGGCAGCTTGGGGTTCAGTGTCTTGCCCAAGGACATT